CCCAGGGAAGTTTCCTTTTATGGTTAAAATGGACATGTGACTTCTTATGCCTATAACCCCAACCAAGGGGGTGGAACTACTCCAGAATTAGCCTGCGAGCAAGCTCTCCTATTTAGGCGAGTGAAACGAGTCTCGCGAGAACGCGCGAGCAAGCGGCAAAGCCGCGAGGGGCAGTGGAAAGAAGCGTTCTCGCGAGGCTCGCTTTGCTTGCTTGCAGGCTACTCCAGAATTCAAGTGACGCGGATGATCAAAGGATTTTTTCGGGTTTGAAATTTTTGCTTCCAGGATTTTATGGGCTAGGAAAATTTGGGATGTATTTTTTTGGGTGGCTTGATTTAAGTAGGGATTTCTTGGGGGTATTCAAAACAATCTGACGAATGGTATTGTCATCATATCCCGGCCTTGTAGTTCTGCAAATAAAATACAACCAAACCTGTTTTGCATTTAACGCATTACATTGCATCTGTTCTGTTTCATAAAACCGGTTATAATGCAATTAAACAATAGGCGATTCAATTTCTAATGTCTTTAGTTTTCGTCCTATATCATTTAATGCTTTCTGGAAATCTTTAAGGCTTAATTTTTACAATGATGAGCGAATAATAATAAAAAAATTTGGCATGGGATTTTCTAGGAATTTAATTTTTTGTCCAGGGATTTTTTTTTTGTTGGAAGCCCTACGGATTTTGGCTCCATTCGATCATCCCCGTCACTGAAATCTCAGGAGAACCCCCATGAGGCCTCCCAGAAAACGTATTTCTTAACTTCCCGGTTCCCCTAGAGGAATTTGGGGACATTTTCCCCCTTATCATGACGTTTTCCATCTCTAGGTTAAGTTTTGCCTCATGGAGATTATTGGGTAAAACTGCTGTTTATAAACATTTGTTGGGCAAGAGCTGTAACTGATTTTCATTAAAAAAATGTTGAACGGTGTGTGTCACTGACTGACTGTGTTTAGGTGATAGAGATTGTCATCTGCAAAATTTTGTCAACAAAATAACTGTGAAATATATGGCTAAAAAAACGAGAATTAAAAAGCGGTGAACAAGTCATTGCTTCTCACCTTTGGATTGAAGGCCGCCATACTGCATGTTGGATCCTACCCAGGCTACCCAGGCAAAGAAATAAATCTGTTTTTAACAACACATGATCACGTGTTGCTGCGATGGCCGAGTGGTTAAGGCGTTGGACTCGAAATCCAATGGGATCTTCCCGCGCAGGTTCGAATCCTGCTCGCAGCGATCACGTCTCCTTTTTCTCATATAGGAAATTATCTTTTTATATTATTTTCCTTATTGTGGTTATAAATTGCAAAAAAATAAAACAATGTCAGTCGGATAATCATCTCGCAAAATAACGCTTTAAACAGCTCGCGACGGTGAAAAAAAACGTGACTGATGACTATCAAATTGACGTCTTGCTTGAATTAACTTTGCTGGAACATTTTGGCTCAAATCTGTGTTTTGGAATTGAATGTTCAGTCTGTATTTCTTCTGTTGAGTCAGCCTGATTGAGTACATAAGACCGATGCTCAGATTTCAATAAACGGCCACACGAAGAGATGAAGGTCTCCCTCAGGCTCACAGTAACTCTTTTGAAGAGATTGATACAGGACACAATTCAGACGACTCCCGTCTTCGAACGGCAAAAATTTTTACCGTAAAAAAAAGCGGCGAAATGAACCTTTTGTTTCACAGTCCAAAACTAGAAAAGAGGGTCTCGCACAACGTTTAGAAAAGCTCTGAACCCTCCTGAACCAGCTGATCTGGAGACGAGAATCAACCTTGTTCCCAGGTAAGTTCCCAGGGCTTTCTCTCACTACGTAATCTCGTACCCAGATCTCGGTCTGCGATCAAGCAAAAAGAAAAGAAAAAAAGAGCCTAGTTTATTCTCAATTTCTCAATTCAATAACAGAAATAGAAGAAAAATACACTTATCATTTAATGTAATACAAAAAAAAATAGTTGAAATCAAACGAAAAAGGAAAATAAAATCTGTGCATTGGCCGGGAATCGAACCCGGGTCAACTGCTTGGAAGGCAGCTATGCTCACCACTATACCACCAACGCCCACGTGTCAGATTCGGCTGATTTTAATTTAAATACCATTCTTACTTCACGCAGTGTTGGAAGCCATACGGGTAGGCGACCGCGTGAGAAATTACGGTGTCTGTATGAGAATCTAATGTCGAAAGTTTGCGTAAAACGACTGTTCTGAAAAAAATATGAATTGTAAATAGGAGCCCATGGGCTCCTGTTTGACCTGGTGTGTCGAAGAACATAAAGTTGTAACATTCCGAGGGACTGATCGTTTAATACGTCCCAGGCGGCGGAAGGGGGGTGGGGGGGGGGGGGGGTTGGAAAAGTTGAAAGAAGATAGAGTGATTGGAAATGAATAGAATGTGAGTGTGTGTAAAAAAAAGATGGTAAAAAAAAAACAAAAAGTAGATAGAGGGGCCCGAGCTTCGCTTTTCTGGGGGGGGGGGGAAAAAAAAAAATATGTGTATACGGGGGGGGGGATTGTTTTTTTAACCGCGCCGGGGGGGGGGGGGGGGGGGGGGGGGGGGGGGGTGTTGGAAAAGTGTGGTGTATCAAAACTTTACCCCCTAAAAATAATTACATATGAAAATTTTACCCCCCGTGGTAATAACAAATTTTAAAATTCACCCCCACCCCCCTTCACCTCCCTCTAGACCAAGCCTAGGCAAGCCTAGACAAGGGCTAGATGTGTACCCTTCAAACGGGCAAACTCTGTTCCAATGCCATCATTATCAATTACGTCCTTGTTCCCAGTTGTGTATGTGCAGAATTGCAACATACAACTCAGTCTCTCGTCTGTCATGGTCCTTCGTAAAGGAGTTTATAGTCTCTTCATACCGCTTAAGCTACGCTCAGCCGTGCATGTTGACACAGGATAACGGAAGTCAACAAAGTTATGAGAGCTACATACTGACTCCAGGATAGAATTGGAGTTGGCTTGGTCAAAAGTCTCAACCAAGGTCTGTGGCTTCACATTCGGATCCATTTTACTCCACTTAGTCACTAAAAGGATAAAGGAAATCCTAACACAAAAACACCAGTAAAATGCGAAAAACTTATCCTGATTTAATGATAAAATTGCTTCAGGAAATAAAAAAAAAATCTATATATTTTTTCCAGATTTCAGCTCTATGCATAGGCTTAGGCACAATTCACAGCACTGTCTTAATTTCTTTCCGGACTCTTCCCGGAGGTTTGGAGTGGGAATGGGATTGGTTCTCTAATAGGATAAGGCTTAGTTTAGTTGAACTGCGAATCCAGGGATGCTTGTTGTACGGGTTTTCGCCCTATCTTTTACTGTAAGTATGGGCTGGGATATAGTACTGTGCAGCTGACTGTGCGGCTACGACGTCAAAATGACTAATTTCCTGTTTTACGGAGGACGCAAACAAGCCACGACTAAATTGTCTTTCCCTTTCTGAGCTTTAGCCTGAATTTTAGACATTACCTCGAGTCACGTTCTCCCTCAGTTACTGAGGGAGTAATCAACTCGAAATCCACAGGCTATCCGAACTTAGACATCGTTCTTATGAATTCAACTTCAGGAGAGTCCGCAGTACATAATCAAGATGAAGTAAAGATTGAAAAACGCGAATTCACTTTTTGACCTCTTCGTTGCTGTCGCCGTGTTCGGATTTTAAGGTCTCTACCCCGCATGTTTTTGCAAGCCGAGTGAGTAATGTGCAGAGAAACACGCGAGGAGGCAGGGCACAGAGAAGGAGGTAATTTCACCGAAAACCAAAATGGAGCAAATTTTCTTTTAACTTGTCATGAGGGGCGCCTCTCTCCTCCTTTATTTTGTCTTTATTCCCTTTTTGTTAGTTGTCAGCAAATAATTAAAAATACTTGATCAGTGAAATTATATGTCACATACTTTTATTCCCCAATACAAGCTTCTCAATAACATGTTGGCTTTATCAATAAGTCAACATGTTCATGATTGTGTTAAAACTAAGCCTTATGAATTAAATTAATAATCGCTTGATACGTCAGGTTTCATGAGTAAAAAAATGAAAGCTTCCGATTTCCAACCCTACGCAGCTCTCCAACAAAAAGAGGATGCGCCACTACCAAATTTCATTTTGTCGAGTATATATAGTATATCATTTCAGTAGGAAAAGGTCCCTGAATTGAACAAAATTTTCGTCAATGGAAACGTGCTAAAAATTACTACTAACTGATACACTAAGGTCATTAAATAGGAGATATTACATATCAGCGCGGAGATACGAAATTCCTCTTCTCCGTCTCGCGCTGAATTTTCATTTCGAGAAGAGAAATTTCGCATGTCTAAGCGGCCATGTAACGTTCTACTTATTATTGATATAAGCATCAATGAAATACCAAACCATTTCAATTTAATATTTTTTGCTGCGAAAGGCGCTATTATATTTTTATGTAGTTATAGCAACGGTAAGCTTTTCACGTGTGAAGACGACATGTTTAATATTTTTACGGCGTGTGAGGTATCATGTCTTGGCGTGAAAGCTATGACACCTGGTATTTCCAATCACTTGTGTTCGCGCGTGTTATAAGTGATTTTAGTTTACTGATATTAAACCTCGTGTAATGAATAGATACTTGGTTACCGTTTCAGGTCTGTTTCATTGAAAGAGTATAATAAACATTTAACTAAATAGGATTGCTAATGGTCAATCCATAGAATTTAGCTTTCATTGTCATTTAGTCGCGTTATTAAATCATGCAGGTCATCATTTTCCGAATCAGCTTAGTGCTGTCCCGTTTCTCCGTTTAATATCAACGAATCCTAGTTTAATTTATGAGTAGTATCGCCTCTTCTTAGGCCAACAGAAATAATCCTAAAACAAAACATTTCGGTGTATTAATTAAAAACGACCTCAACTAAACCTGTTTAAAACCACCTGCTGCAGTTCACAGCTTGTGTTCCGGAACTTTACATGTTTATGGTCACGGCAGGTGAAGCCGCGCGGCAAGCCATTGTTATCTGCGGCCGGTGTTCATTAGCTCATCTAGAGATAGAGGAGGTGGAAGACAACGATGTGTTATAAGCTGAACTGTTTCGTCGTAGCTTTTATACTTTAAACCACCATCTAACTTCATTCTTTTTGAGAATTCGTCTTCAACTTTTCTATGGCGTGGCATAACAGGTTCCGGATAAAACGTCCTTTCGTGGAGCTCAATTTCCAAATATTTTTCCAGGGAAAGAAGCTCTTCTTGTTCCTTTTCAAGCTTTTCCAATATTTCTTCCATTTCTGCCAAAAGCTGTAGCTCTTCACTAGATAATGACGAATCTTCCTTAAAAGTTTTAATATCCGTGCTTGTAAAATTCCTAATGTCTGTTTGCAGAATTTGCTCCAATTCTGAAAATCGTCTCTTCAAAATAACCCTTCCGACTTTAAGTCGCTCGTGCTGACGTCTTATTTCTGAAAGTTCCTTTAAAAATATAATTTGCATCTCTTCCATCTTGGTGTCAAAACGATCCTTTTCTTCTTGACTGGAGAAATTTATTCCATGAGATTCGAAGCACTTATCATCAGCATCGCGGCAGCTATGTTCCGCACCCAGAATTTCTTTCCCTTTTCGCTTCAGCTCTATATGTCCACCATGGCCTATTTCTTCAGATTTTCTACATGTGGAAGAATTCCGGTTTCCTCTTTCAATCCAAAATTCACCGAAAAGAAGAGACCAGAATCGTTTAAATCTATAACACAATGACATGTCTTGAAGGCGTCCTTTGAGTATCTCGCGTCTTTTTCTCAGGAAGTGTCATTGTCATGAATTTGTGCCGACGGAACTTTCTACTTTCAAGGCTATCCTTTCCAACCCACACCAAATATAACGCGTCTCTTGTTGCATACGTACAAATATTTACCGGTGTCTCTTTAGGTGGTAAAATCCCAAATTTCAAACAGCTCAAATGAATTCGTCTTGCCCTCTCCAGCTAGGCGCGTCGCCTTGGACAACAGACTCTTGGAAAAAAGCTTTATTCTTAATCTGCCATGCGCAGAGCCAACAGGTGTTTAGAAGGTTTTCCCCTGTACGTTTGTTAAAACGCCAGAAATAAGTTGTTTTTTTCTCTTAACCAATCATGTGGTAGCATCGTGCTTAGTACCTGCTAACGTTGTGGCATTCCCAGTTTACAAGACGATAATCTGCCTTTACCCGAGTTTGCAGTTGTTTTTAATTGTACCTTGTTTCAGCAATTTGCCAACACACATTTCAAAGGAAAGTTGAAGCTTCCCTCAACAATTGTGTCATGTATTAGAAGTGTAGCACTGGCATAGTCTAAACCCGAGGTTTTAAGTATTCTTTTTGTCGAGCTGGTGACAATGAATTCACCTTTTCAAACAACTACAGTTGTTTGTGCTTTTTTTTCCACGTCCGTACTGCACCACAGTCGGGTTTCTTTAAAAACTAACATTCTTACTTTAAGTGAATGGCAATCTTCCAAACAAACGTTACGAAACTACCAACATCTCTTAGTTTTTTTTGGATGTATTTGAAAATAGCAAGAAAACACAATTGAAAAAAAAACTTCCGTATATTTCTCTCGTTTTCTCCCACTGGTTGTGACTCAGAAAAGACTGAAGAAAGAGAAATGTCGTATTGTATTACGTGACAACGATTAATACTTTAACAATTTTGACCGCTTTAGTGCTTTGCATTCTGTCGACCTCTGGAGACGGTCCATAGTAGGCTGTCATCGGTTAAACTCATGCAGACTGGTTAACAGATGATTGGTGTATGGGGACGTACAATTTATCGACAGTATTGTATTTTAGTAAAATCCAACTAGTGGTCTATTATCAATGCTGCATTCTGATTGGTTGAGCCACTACTAGGCTATATGTTATAGCCCACTAGTAGCGAAAAGCGCCTGCTTTTTGGCGGCAAAAAAGGATTTAACTCTAGCTTTAACTAGCTAAAGTTGTTTTGTCTCGTCATTTTTGACCAACTAGTTGGATTTTACTAAAACAGTTATTCCTCTCGTCCTCATGGGCTATTGACTCAGAGCCCATTCGGGGTCGAGGAATAATTGTCAAATAGATTCCATACGATCGCAAATAAAGTCGCCCTTATACATCACGTGCCTCGGAGTTTATGGTTATCAGCCGCTGGATAAAACTTCGTAGTCGAAGGAATCTGATTGACTTGAAGCAAATGATCCATGTGATCAGTACCAGCTGTTTCATTTATTAAATAACTAACAACCTGTTATAAGAATATAACTTCAAACCAAGTATGTTTAGCTAAAGTTACAGGAAATAATCCGCCTTTAGTTTCGTCTCGACAGCCAGCTACTACTTATCCAGTGAAGCAGAGAGAACTTCTTTTTACAACACCTTCTGAAAGGTTTGAGTTGCAGTCATGTAATCAATGAATGTTTATTTTATTCAAGTGATTCCGCGGTGATCAGTCGAAGATCGACAACAAACACCAAACTCAGTGAGTCGTCTACAGAAGCTAAACAGTATTTTGATCCAGCATCTTTGATTCAGATCTTCAGTGGGAATCCCGAGTCTACCAGACAAACTTAGTTTCACAATCCATATCAACAGAAATTGGGATTATGCTCCTTTAGAAACGACTATTTTGACAACAAGAGTTTTCTTTCTGGAACGAAAATCAAATAAAGTCATTAGTTTCGAAATATAGCAATACTTGAGCTTAACTCATACAATCTTTGGCCAATAATTTCACAACAGGAGGTTTGGACTCTTAGCTCTTGTACTGGTATGGTGGAAACAAAACAGAACCACGAAGCGAAGATCAAAGGCGATAGCGAAGAAACAGAAATACCAAGAATCCAGGAAAATGATAAATCATTGGACAAGCACTCGGCTTCATATGAAGATAAACTTGCTTCAACATTTGCAACCTTTTGGAATATATGCAACACCATTCAGGGGTTACCGATATTGGTGATCCCTTATGCTGTTAGAAATGGGGGCTATTTAGCAATATTAACATTATTACTTGTTGCTGTTGCGTCAAATTACACTGGAAAAACTATTGTTCGCTGTCTTTACGAAAAGGATTCCGAGAGTGGCAAACAAAAAAGGGTCCGCAATTCGTACGCAGATGTTGGGAACGCCTTTCTTCCAAAAGTTGGAGGTCATCTTGTCCTCGGTACACAGTTTCTAGAGTTACTATTCGTTGCCTCTGTCTATCCCTTATTAGTTGGTAGATTACTAGCAAAGTCTTTTCCACACATTGCCCTTCCCTGTTGGCTTTGGACGCTAATAGGTGGAGTTATTTTTGTGCCAAACATTTTTCTTAAAAATCTCTCTCAAGTGGCCTGGACAAGTATTTTAACGGTACTGTCAGCGAAACTCATTTTTATCACAGTTTTCGCTTACAGCTTATCAAAGATTCACAAATGGGAGATTAGTTTCTTGGATCATTTTGACGCCAGCACATACCCATCTGCTTTAGGAATACTGGTAGCAAGCTACTTATCACAACCATTTGTACCTCTCATCGAAGGGAGCATGCGTCATAAAGAGAAATTCGATTCGCTTATGAATTTTTCATACGGGATAATGACCCTTCTCAATGTAATAATTGGCGTGGTCGCTTATATCTCATTTCACCCCAACACAGCCGAAGTTATCACCAATAATCTGCCAGAAGGTTCATTTCGGCGTGCTGTAAACGTTATGGCGGCCGTGTTATCCTTCACATCATACACGCTGCCAATGTTCACAATTTTTGAAATCGTGGAAAACTCTAACCTCCCTTGCCTACCGATGGATTTTGGTAAATCTGTGTTAAGTCCATCCGTTATTGTTTTTCGCTTGTGGATGGTAACTGTCAGTGTTTTATTTGCGGCTACTTTTCCCGCCTACACTTATCTGCTAGCTTTTGTCGGTAGCATCGCAGGAATTAGTTTGGAGTTTATTTTTCCTCCTCTTTTCCACCTTAAGATTTACTCGTCAGAAATGTCATGGTGTAATATTTTGGTTGATACTTTTGTATTTATAGTAGGCATAACTGTGTCACTGACTGGAGCTTTCTTTTCCGGCCGGTCAATGATCCACACCTACAGTCAACCAATAGTTAATCGTTGTGCATAGTAGATGTATAAATCTATAAGAGATTATGTCGTATTCACACCAGCTAAACAAGTTTAATTAAAATGGGTTTTTTTTAAAAAAAAGTAATGAAGAACCTGAACACAGGCCTCAACACAGAATTCACTGAATTAATTCAAAGTAATGATGTTACATAACTTCACCGACAACATACTTTCCATCAATAAAAGTACGTGCAGTTTACAGCTTTTTAAACGAAAATAACTGTGTTTCACTAAACAGCTTTCAGGGTTAACGTGTTACTGGTGTAAATGGGGCTAAAGGCACTCATAGATCCCAAATTTACAAGCACGGTACAGCAGTCAGTTTAGTAATTCAACTGAAGACGAGTGAAATCGTCTACGAGGGATGTGATTCATAAAGAACAAGAATCGCCGAAAGGCGATTTTAACTGTGCTGCCAAGGGGCGATTTTCTGAGCGGAGGGGGCGGCTGTACACACTCAGGCTGCCACAAAACCTTGTCACCGACCATTGCGTGACATATTTTGAGAGTAAAACAAAAACTCATTTGAACAGTTGTACCCTTTTGGAAGACTTTCGTAACAAGAAAAATAAGTACTATTTTTAGTTCGGGGCTGTATATTAACTTTTAAATTTCACCATTATGAATATAAATAAGCAAGTTAGCCATTTCATTAGCATGATTTACACGCACCCCTCCCCCAATCCCTCTGACTAACTTGACCTAACCGGAAATTCCGTTATAATTAGCCATAAAACGCAACAGGGTCAGCTATACTGTTAGCAAGCAGTACATTTCTCTATTCTGGTTCTTAAAACTAACAAGGAAAATTAAATTGAAGATTTGTTTTTGTCTGATATTGCGTTTGAAGTCTTTCAAACTGTCCAAGTGAATATATATATTATTTTGACGTGACAATCCACAATGAGCACATTCCTTCGCGCCAGTAACGAATGACGTTTCACACGCAGAGCAAGAATCGCAATAAGATAAAAAGAGACATTGGCCGTCACATTTTAAACGGTTTTAACTTCAACAAAAAACGAAGAGAAAACTCGAAAGCGACCCATCCTACCATCTTTTGAAGAAAGCGCTGAAAAAAAGTGCCAATGATAGCTTGAGAGACGTCTTTATTCAATGGATGTACACACACACACACCCTCCCATGCTACACACACACACAGAGATTTGGAATCACGTTTTAGAAGGGAAAAACTCATCAAAAGGTTTAAACTTCAACAAAAAGTGAGGAAAAACCCCAAAAGGTACTCATCGTAGCATCTTTTGTGGGAGGCGATGAAAAAGCCCAGTACGCTGTCTAGCTTCAAACACATCTTCATTTATAATGCCTGCCTTCACTTAACTTGCTTTATCGTTATCAAGTTAATAATTGATAGTGTTCATTTTTTGACTGAGAAAATCCCCTGGGGTACTCCCTTACATTTCCCTTATACGTATTGGTCTGAAATAGCGTCAGGATTTGGAGAGCCGCACGGCACACCCCCACCACGAATTCCCGGGTATACCTAGCCTGCGTAGCTGGTGGTATTGCGTAGTAGTCGAGTGACATTTTGCGGCGGAGCCGTTGTAATGTAGTCGAGTGAGATTTGACGGCGAAGCCGCGAGAAATATTATTTCAACCTCGTCCCTACTCCCTTTTTTTGGAACAAGGCTTCGCCGCCAAAATTTTAATCTCGCACCCACACAATACCGCCAGCTACGCAGGCTAGGGTATACCCCCCGAGGAGAAAATCGAAGGTATTTTATAAACTGGTTTATTAGTAATGCAATGAATTATTCTAAGTGGAATTTTCAGTTTAATGTCAAAGCTTTCTCTGATCTTCGTAAAGCTTTTTAAGGCTTTTGATATTCACATTTAGTAAGCACAATAATTCAGACTTATCTAGTGACAATCATACGAGGTCACCACTTACGTGTAGAAGACCGTAGTAAATTCGGAAGGTTGTCGCCCTACCAATTCTTTGTCCCTGTAATGGATTTTGACGTTCTGGTAACTGATTTTCAAGCAAAGATTATTAGAAATCTTCCACGAGGAACAACTTAATTGGCCAAAGTTGGTCACTTACTTTTAACCCCGGCTGTTCACCGTCCTTGCTGTTTCCGCTTATGAAGAACGTTTATGGCACTATTACTCTTGACCAGACTTAATTATCTACACACGGATTTTTGCTGGGTGTGAAACTCAGATCTAATTAGCAGTCAGCTGCTTTAGACTTGCATAACTCTAAAATATACGTGCAGTCTATATGGGGATATAAAACGAATCCGCTCTGGGCATTTGGTGGATTTGCTTTGCTCTTCGGATGGGGTTGCTTCGGGTTAAGCATAATACTCTGGTGGTGACCAGGGAGGGGGGCACCCAGCAAACAGCTAAAGCGACAATTATTGAAGGTGGTTTGACATGGTTGGACACAACACACAATACACCCCATTTTAAGTTTACAGGGTACGTACCACATCCCTTATGATATAATTGTAAAGGATTATTAGACACCAAAGATCCGGTTATTGGTTAGCGGGGGTTGGTTTTCTGTACACGCGGGTGAAACTGATGACATTGCGTAGCCCTTGGATCAGTGGTACCGTATCCAAGGCTAGTGTGTGGCGCAAATGATCGGGAATTCTTCCACCGCAAAAAGGTTTATCCATTTAAAGCTGTGCACTTCTCCTACCAAGATGGAAAAAGAAGCAAAAGAAAGATCGTCCATTGCATAGTCCCTTATGGCACAGGATCCAAACCAAGGGAACGTCGCACGAACATTAAAAACTAGCCGAAATATCGTCACGTTACAGTCTCGTTACGCAACATAATACCGCATAGATAACATTGCGGCCTAAGGACAGAGGGCTCGTATTAGGTAAGATGCATGAAAGATCGCGACCGTCGTGCCTCGCTTGGAATGCTCCGCATTTCGCCATTGCCTTCGGGCAACGGCTTTTGCGCCCAAGAATAAAATGATAAAAAGCAAGCGGCAACGTTATTTCTTTTCAAAATGTCATACACCGAATGCAAATATGGCGGATCTCTCGGTCGGCCCGGGTCTAGTTGCGCGAAAGCGAGGCTAGTGAGGCCTCGAGAGTTTTGTTTTGACTGCGCGTCTTAGCGATTCAGTCGATCAATATGGTTTCNTTTTGACTGCGCGTCTTAGCGATTCAGTCGATCAATATGGTTTCCTTCGAGTTGTTACGTGCTTAAGAGCCATCAAAGAGGAGATTTAACTCCAGCAGAGACGAAAGTTTATTATCTTCGCTTTGGCACGGTTCTTTACGGAGAAAGAAATGGATTAAAGCGATTCGGTGCGGCGAATTGAGGCACTTTACTATCACGGAGTTTAAAAATAAAAGAACGAAAGTGCGCTCGCTTCACTTCAGAAGAGTAGACTTACGAAACTATTAGAATGGGTGAATAACTGAAAGATTCATGGTTCTGTTTCAAGTTTGCTTTGTCCGTTCTCTTACCAAGGAAAGGTAAATATCCTCGAGAACGAGTGAGTCCGCCGTCGCGACTTACCAATCTTAAGGCGCTCTCAGGGACACAACGACAGACAACAAGGCCGAATGTTTTCACAGTCCTCACGATCCTGTGTTCAAGAGTTTGAGCAGTGCCATAAAAGAAGCAATTTCTGGAAAATCGCTGGTAGTTTATCTCGAAACCATTCGACAATTTGCTAAAATAAATCACGCGCAAGGTCAAATACAATGCTCGAATACTTGTACGCTCTTTCTCTGCCAGAACCTTTTTTCCTTCTTCTTACTTTCTTAGTTGACAACAGTTTTTTCAGTGCACTTTGGTCAAGGACTGTTCTTGAAATATGTCGCTTTCTTCTGGTTCTTACATAGTTTCACAGGCCACGCTTGTAGGATTAACAGGCGATTGTTATTGTTGTTGTTATATTTTCAACGTGAAATCTAAAAGATCATACAGTCCACAGCGGATGCTCGCGTCCTCGAGAATGTTTACGTTTTGTTGGATAAATAACAGACCATAAACACATCTTAAAACAGCATCATCCCTTGTGAAAATTATTTCATTCAAATACTTTCGTGAGTCCTCTCATCTAAAGCAAGTAAAGCGAGCACACTTTCGCTGTAAAGTGCTTCCCATCGCCGCGCTGAATCGCATGAATCCTTAACTTTCTTTGTGAAAAGATCTCGGGAAAGTAAAGGCTATACCAGCTAGAGTAAAATCTTCTTTTTGGTGGCCCTCAGGCATGCAACAATTCGAAGCAAACCATATCGATCGACTCAATCGCTAAGACGCGCGGTCAAAACATAACTCTTGAGGCCTCACTAGCCTCGCTTTCAAGCAACTAGACCCGGGCCGGCCGAGAGGTCCGCCATATTTGCATTCGGTGTATAGCGTCGATCAGGAGATGTGAAGGTCCTGAAGTCAGAAAATCTGCGCAAAATGGATCCATAAAGAACCGGCATTGGGCTATTGTGCGAAACGATGAGGGTAGATATTTTCCCAAGGTAAGGCGTTAAGAAGAAATTTATCGGACCCAGTGCTTATGGCGTTTTCCCAAGGCTTCAAAGTCATGCATTTCGATGATGTCTCTGAGATGATAGGTCGGCCGAACCACGTGATGTGAAAACTTATCAATAAAACGTGAAGAACAGTGAGGCCTAGGGAATTGGCAGGATTGTCCAATCTTTCTCTCAGATTCCACGTCTCATGTCGAGATATGAAACTGCAGGCTATTTATTGAGACATCATTGTCGATCTGCCTACTGCATACTTATTCTTACGCAAAATAACTAAAGAAGTATATTATGGACAGACTGCTTCAAAAGGCTAACATCAAAAATGACCTAAACCCTATCCCTACGACGAAGGTTAAATGTTTTTGACTACAATTGTCCTCGGCTCATTCCTGATGTTTTTCGGGCATCATCAGTCATCAAGAAGGGAAAGGAGCCTATTACTCTGAGAGAGCATGTTAAGACGCTTGTCACGGGGTTATCACAGACCAGTTTATTTTTAGAAGCATTTTAAAGTATTCGTTTCTATGCAAATGGTACTCCATTCGATATGTTTTTAAAACAGCTGCTTTTAATTTAATGATATATGAAAAAAGTGCCATCAAGATCTCAAATTTCAAATGATACGATTTATGTTCTTTTTCTCAGGATTGTTTTTAATACTTCCGTGGAATGCTAATATCAGTTTTGTTTTCAATTTCACGATTCATACACCTTATTCGGCGATAAATACCTAGACAGCGCAGAGGAAATGAGAACACAATTAGTTGAGTTTAAAGAAGAACATTTATTCACTTGTGACTAAATATTTATCAATAATACATTTTCAAGTACATGTGATCGCAATAAGTGACTGCCTCGTTCCTAAGCGTCTAAAGTGTTTGGTAGAAGCGTTCAAGGAGTATCGCGCAATGGACCATGGGAACGTTAAGCGTTAGCGCAAAATCGCACCTGTCGCTCTCGAATCCGCTAGTACTCGCCTGGGTACGAGGCAGAACAAGTAAAGCGTATGGCTTTCAAATTCCCACAAAACTGAATGCCCGGAAATAACATTTCAAACCAAGACAGTATGAGTAGTGAAATCAGAATTTTCGAGGGGCAAACAAATTAGTGTTTATTCCGTGTTCAGTTTATTGCTGAATGGATTAGACTAACTTGCCATTACCGGTTAGTAGTCATTAGGGTAGGGTGGTAGGGTCTAATCACTACCACCACTATATTTGGCGAGGAAACTAGCCAGAGTTACAAGTATAATTATAGGTACAGTTTAAAGCAGCATTTTTCCCTTTTGTTCCGCAAAAGTTCTAAGCAAAATTCTTAACGCAATTATTCCCCTTTCCTTTAGACACAATAATTTAAAATTACGGAGTAAACGTGCCGTTCAATTCAGTCATTCACACCAACCTATGATAGACCATGATATGGTAAAGAGAAATTTGTAGACAAGAATTAATGAAAACAAACTTAGAGCTTCATCGAAGGGTTCTTTTAAGGACGCTTTAATTGAAAAATTTGTAATAACTCGGTTTGTTTGTTTTCAGGCGCAATTACCACTGATAGGATTGCTGTAGGCTTGAATTATTGAACGCAGCGAAAATATAGATCCGGTGACCAACACAGCACTCCCAACAAGTAGGATCACAGCATCCAGTAAAAAACTGTACCAGGACATTTCTGACGAGTAAATCTTAAGGTGGAAAAGAGGAGGAAAAATAAACTCCAAACTAATTCCCGCAATGCTGCCGACAAAAGCCAGGAGGTAAGTGTAGGCGGGAAAAGTAGCCGCAAATAAAACACTGACTGTTACCATCCACAAGCGAAAAACAATAACGGATGGACTTAACACAGATTTACCAAAATCCATCGGTAGGCAAGGGAGGTTAGAGTTTTCCACGATTTCAAAAATTGTGAACATTGGCAGCGTGTATGATGTNAGAAATTTGTAGACAAGAATTAATGAAAACAAACTTAGAGCTTCATCGAAGGGTTCTTTTAAGGACGCTTTAATTGAAAAATTTGTAATAACTCGGTTTGTTTGTTTTCAGGCGCAATTACCACTGATAGGATTGCTGTAGGCTTGAATTATTGAACGCAGCGAAAATATAGATCCGGTGACCAACACAGCACTCCCAACAAGTAGGATCACAGCATCCAGTAAAAAACTGTACCAGGACATTTCTGACGAGTAAATCTTAAGGTGGAAAAGAGGAGGAAAAATAAACTCCAAACTAATTCCCGCAATGCTGCCGACAAAAGCCAGGAGGTAAGTGTAGGCGGGAAAAGTAGCCGCAAATAAAACACTGACTGTTACCATCCACAAGCGAAAAACAATAACGGATGGACTTAACACAGATTTACCAAAATCCATCGGTAGGCAAGGGAGGTTAGAGTTTTCCACGATTTCAAAAATTGTGAACATTGGCAGCGTGTATGATGTGAAGGATAACACGGCCGCCATAACGTTGACGGAAAGACGGAATGAACCTTTTGGCAGATTATTAGTGACAACTTCGTGAGTATTAGATTCAAACGAGAGATAAGCGACCAGCCCAATGATGACATTTAGTAATGTCATTGTGCCATAAGATAAATTCATCAGTGAGTTGAATCTTTTCTTGTAACGCATGCTTTCTTCGATGAGAGGTACAAATGGTTGTGATAAATAGCTTGCTACCAGTATTCCTAAAGCAGATGGATATGTGCTGGCGTCAAACTGATCTAAGGAACTAATCTCCCATTTCTGAAAATGCGACAAACTGTATATGAGAACTGTAGTGAAAATGACTTTGGCTGACAGCACTGTTAGTACACTTGTCCAGGCCACCTGAGAAAGATTTTTAAGAAAAATATTTGGCACAAACGCAATGCCACCGATCAGTGTCCAAAGCCAACAGGGAATGGCGATGTGTGGAAAAGACTTGGCTAGTAACTGTCCAACCAACAACGGATAAACAGCGGCGACAAAAAGAAGCTCCAAGAACTGTGTACCAAGGACAAGATAACCACCAATATTCGGAAAGAAAGCGTTTCCAACATCTGCGTACGAATTGCGGACCCGTTTTCTTTTGCCACTCTCGTGGTCTGCTTCGTACAGACAGTTAACAATAGTTTTTCCAGTGTAGTTTGAAGCAACAGCAACTAGTAGTAAAGTTGAAAGCGCTAAATAGCCACCATCTTTGAAAGCATAAGGGATAACCAAAATTGGTAACCCTTGAATTGTATTGCATATATTCCAGAAGGTTTCGCATGATGAGGCGAGGTTTTCTTCTTGATATTTTCCGTGTCTCACGGTGGTCTGTTTATCCAAGCCGTCTAGTTGGTCTTCTTGCTGAAGTTCTTTGTATCCTGCTCTATTCATTTTCCCATCCCTTGCTTGCTATTTTATTTGTAGAAAAACTACTGCTCATAGGGAGACTAGACCGCGTCAACGTTGACCTTGAAAGACGAATTCAGGAGACTGTAAGGTAAGTCTTCATATTCTGTACAGTGGATTACCCTTCATCTGGCTGAACCAAAAGAGTATAACATGTAAATCAAGTGAAAATTGTTTACCGAAATAAAAATTGCCCGTGGAAACGAAATTAATCGCAGGGAATCTGGATGTTGCACAAACACAAAACAAATGTAAACTCTTTTGCTTGTAATTCACTTTGATTTAACTGAACCCTACATTTTGAAATCGATTTTAAAAACTCAGGAAAGTGGCATCAAACCAAAGAAGTAGAAACAGGAATTATAAAAAAGAAAATTCTGGATCACCCATCACAAGTCAAGTGTCTTGGAAACAGGAACACTCGCCCAGATATGTTATTACAAGCATAAAATTACAAACAGCGAATACAGAGCGACATCAGGCAAGTAATTGAGAATAGTTGATTTCAAATTTTCACTGGTTTCAATGTTCAAAGGATCTAAACAACCAAAACACATGAATGCCAAGGAAAGCAAGGAAGAAGCACAGCAAATACTGGAACCATTGTGACGGTGTAGCCACAGGTGCGTTTGTATACACACGGGCGAAAATGAGAGGTTTTTCTACATCTATATTGGCTGATTTAATGTTTTTGGGTGTGTTTGATAGCTTTTGTCAATGTCAGTCTGCCATTTAATAATAACTAACAAGCTGGGAAAAAAGGTGGTAAAAATCAGCCAAAAGATTGAGTGGGGGGGGGGGGGGGGGGGGAG